TCTGTTGGACCCTAGGGGGGGGGGGGTGATTAGGGTATTGAGGCAATGATAATGCAATAAAAACTATGACAAGCAATACACCACAAAATAAAAAGCCAAAGTAAAAGAGATAAGGTAAGAAATCGTTATCCAAGTAACGCGCGATGCGTTCACAAGGTTCGGTCCGCTGACCTACGTCCCCACTCACCACTCTCGAGGAGAATCCACTACACAACCCGGTTTGGAAGACAGAACCTCTTCTACACAACGATCTCCACGAGATCTAACACCCACACAATTGATCTCCACGAGATCTAGCTCACAACAACAGTAAACGATGTAAAATCTCTCTCTTTACAGTAGCCATATGGAAAGGAGAAAGATTGCACATGAAGCTTGGGATGTGGACTTAGAAAATAGTGAAGAACAGGAATGAAAATTTGGGCTCTTTTGAAAATAGTAAAACAAAACACAAAGGATTTGCAATGAGTTTTGGTGATCTAAAGAAGGGGGATATGAGGGTTTAAATAGGAAGAAGAACAGCAGCCAAAACCCCCAACCAAATCTCCCAAAAATCAGAGAATCAGATTTTCTGATTCTGTACCAAAAAGAGCCCTTGGTCGATCGGCGGTCGACCGTGAGAATTTTGCGGTCGACCGCGTAGGTTTTCAAAGCTGAGAAAAGTTTCTGTAAAGGCTACGATCGACCGTCACGGTCGACGGTGAGAACTCCAGAAAGTTTCTGTAATCAGTTCGGTCGACCGCGACGGTCGACCGCAGGAAGTCCCGACCGCCCGCCACGGTTGACCGTACATGTTTCTGCTAGCTCCTGAGGGAAATACACTGGCGCGGTCGACCGCGAACTGACACAGCTAATACATGTTTTTAAAAACTATTTTTGACACTTTAGAAAATTTGTAAAAATATTCAAATGATTTCTAAAATTTGTATAACTTTGTAAAATATTTTTAACACTAAAAACAAACTATTTTGAAAAGGAATTTTACGAATAGGTCCTTATACTTGTGAAAAACCATATTTTGATAAAACCTTCAAAACTATGAGTATGAAAATGCGTGTGTGATATCCCAATAGCTTCAAATAAAATCTATAACTACTTGCCTACATTGTAGCACTAGAGAGAAAATAAAAATAGCAAATATCTCTCACATAGAAATATATTTCTTGAGTCTTGGTATTGCTTTAGAATTGACGAAGCTTCTCATAGCGTTTAGTGTTCTTGATAAACATTGCTTCATCACATTGCCTCCTCCTCCTTTAGATATTGTCGTTGTAGCTCATATTCCATCCAATCCTCCATAAATGATACTAACTAGCTTGGTATTTATATTATCTATAATATCACTCAATAAGCAATTAGTACCGATAATGATGGTTGTAAATCATCATCAAAACATAAGGGCTAACAATCTCCTCCTTTTTGATGATGACAACTGTAAATCATCATCAAAACATAAGGGCTAACAATCTCCTCCTTTTTGATGATGACAACCAACCATTATAATAGAGCAAAATAAGTATAGCTTATAGATATTAGCTCCCCCTATCTATGAGCTCTCCCTTACTATGTGCACAAATGAGAAGATTTCTCTCCTCCTTTGTCACCATCAAAATGGGGATA